ACACAGCCATGCAAACACAACTGCTTCACGGTTGAAACACGAATGGGACAGAGGTACCCAAGCAATCGACTTTTGTACAAAGTCTCCCTCTGGTACTTGTAACCAAGTCTATTTGAATAAAAAAATATTTCAATTTGAATTAAAATTTACATATGTATTAAATTTTGTCCCGTATTCATACTAAGCTGAAGAAAGGTGATTTTTTCTTCCTGAATCTTTCTAATGTGACTTTATCCGTCTGTTTGTCCATCTGTCACAGCGCTATATCTCAGTAACTACTAATGCTATTAATTTATAATATGAAATTTGAAATAGTTTTACATGTTATTAGTCCACATTTATTGTAACGGATATAATTGAAACAAATATTTTTGCTTTCTTCGCTATAGGTCTAAAAGGTCTCAAAATTTAAAAATTGACCTCCTAGTCTAAATGACTTCATTTGAAATATAGATAGATAGACAGATACTCTTTATTGTTACCTCCAAGAGATTACAATAGTAAACTTCATCAAGGGCTTCATTTGTATATTTTAAAACTGATTTTTATTTGTTTTTATAACGCCTAGTTTTTTTTTTTACCACAAAGAAATTGTATTACAATATACAACACAACGTGTGACTGTGTTCGTATGAAACAAACATTGACTATGTTCTGAATAAGCCATACTTGTCGTTCGACACTGAGTGGCAAGTGGCATGCAATAATACATACAATAACGCGTCTATCAAAATGTAATCTGGTCGTCAAATTTGATTTATACATATAATATTAATGGTATTAGATACCCATGTATACTACATAACCAATCATTAAATTAATGAAACCAGAGGAACAAAGCATTAATTAGAGCTAGTCCCTTAAAAAGAGGCATAATACGAGTATATACTTTTTAATTTTGCACATAATTTTTAGCTCCATTCGCATTCTGTGGTGGGTACTAGGACAATTTAGGGATAGACACGGGCAACCCGGTTAAATAAACTCAATGTTAAATAGATCCGATAGAATCCATGAACTAGCCCCCCTCCCCCACGCTCAGTAAAATAATCCTAATTTCACTATGAGAATAAAATTAACATGAAAGTTGCATTGAAAAGTTAAAATGATACGATGACGTAAACAGTCACTGCTATTATCACGACAGAAATAAAATATAAAAAAAAAATAGACGAAAACTGTATAGAGTGTGAGAGAAAAGAGGCCGGGGCAAACAAGTTTACAGCCCGTGTGATGGTAAACGGTAAATAGTGTTTAGGTATGATTAAAAATGTGGATGGAAAAAGAACAGTCCTCATATCTGCAAAGTTTTCAATAAAAGAAAAATAATGTTTCTAACTAGCAGAGTTTATAAAAAAAAATCAAAAACCTCTTCAAAAACAAGCTAGTTAGTTATATAGTTTTGTTTATAACCACAATTATAGCCCCTAAATAAGAGATTTTGAATTATAGTATCAATATTAATAATCGACTTAATCAAAATTTCTATGAAGCTAATCTCTAAGTATTTTTTTTTATACAACTAAGAATGGCAAACAAGCTGACGGCCCACCTGATGGAAAGTGGTAACCGTCGCCTATAGACATGAGCAGTACCATGGACATAACATGGAGTATACTGTTTCGCTCATGATACCCCCCATGCGTTACTATTCCTGAGGACTCGGGTGTTATTCCTCCGTACCCAGTAAATTCACGCTATATCCCACCCTTCAAACCGAAACACAGCCATGCAAACATAACTGCTTTACGGTTGAAACACGAATAGGACAGAGGTACTCAAGCAATCGACTTTTGTACAAAGTCTCCCTCTGGTGATTTTTTGATAAAAAAAAAAACAATTATCCAAATTGATTTACATGTGACGCAGTTATGAGGTAACTAACATAAAAAAAAGTAAACCGATTTTAGAACCTTCTTCTTCTTGAAGCGGTTGAAAATGCAGTAATTTTTTCTCTAAATATAATACTCGTAGAATAGAAGATGAGAATTGTCGATGATCCCAAGCTCACAAGCGGTATCAAACCTTTAAGTCTTAGGAGAGATTTTGCCTCACTCTGCGTGTTCTACCGCTTGTACAACGAACTGTGCTCAGAGAAATAATTCAATATGATGCCTACAGCCACTTTCTATCATCGCACGGCTCGCCATCGACAGGGAGTTCACCCTCATACCCTACAGCCTAAATGATCGCTTACAACGCGGTTTCTGAGATGTTTTCTCCACCGAACACTCAGGTTATGGAATGAGCTCCCTGCCGAGGTTTTTCCAAGAGACTACAGCATGGGGTTCTTCAAAAGGGGGACAAAGAGGTTTCTTCAGGGTCGGCAACGCGCGCGTAATACCTCTGGTATTGCACGCGTTCATAGGCTACGGTAACCGCTTACCATCAGGTGGGCCGTATGCTCGTTTCACTAATTTTACCAATTTTCCTACTACTGAAATCCACACGCACGAAGCAGCGGGCAGAAAACTAGTAATAAATATGAGCACTCGGAAACTTCCAAGAAGCACTTATCCGCTTTTTATTACAGAAACATTATTTCCGTGTAGCAATAGAAAGAAATTACAAAACAAGTATCGAATATAGACCTAATACAATAAACGTCGACAAATTGCAATATCAATTTAGCAGTGATATGAAAACATTGGATCGTGGAACGCGACAAGAAAATTACGACTGTGCGACAGAACAAAGAATTTATGATATTAGAACTTCAGTCAAACACAGTCAAACCAATTAGTACTGTGTACGGATGGGAAAACAAATTATGACATCAAATTTCAACTGTGGAATATGTTCTCGAATTATTTATGTATTAATCACTTAAATACAAGTATGCTTCGCTTTGGTACCTCTGTCCCACTCGTGTTTCAACCGTAAAGCAGTTGTGTTTGCATGGCTGTATTTCGGTTTGAAGGGTGGGATATGGCATGAATTTACAGGGTATAGAGGAATAACAACTGAGTCCTCAAGAATAGCAACGCATAGGGGTTATCATGGGCGAAACAGTATACTCTGTTATGTTCATGGTACTGCTCATGTCTATAGGCGACGGTTACCACTTTCCACCAGGTGGGCCGTCAGCTTCTTTGCCATTCTAAGTTTTATATAAAAAAAAGTACATCGATAAATATACATACATACGTACATATCTGTCACGTCTGTCTACCATTAGAGTAGACAGAAACAATGGAACGCCAAATGCTTCGATTCAAACAAACCTCTTTCCCTTCTTCCCCATACATCAATCTTTTCATACACGCTCGCCAGTTACGGGTACTTTTAATTTGGCCCTTCTTTAGCTCGTCGCCTATTTGGTCGACATACGTCCGTCTAGAGCGGCCTCTACCGACATCTCCAATCATTGTTGCTCGATAAATCTGTTTTGTAATTCTTCTTTCATCCATTCTCTCCAAATGGTCAAACCAACGTACCATTCCTTTTTCAATTTTTGTCACTATATCGTCTTTCAGTCTACACTTCTCTCTAATCACACTGTTTCTTACTCTATCTAATATATAAATATTGATAAATATGTAACGGGAAATTAATGAACTTCCTGTATTTTTTTTTTTTTACAATTGTTTCGACAGTTCGAAACGAGACGCTGTGACACAAAGCGTAAAATGCCTCCTGAAAAAGACTTCGAAAGACGTTCAAAGTCGAAACAATTGTCGGATACGATAAAAACACAGTAAGTTCATTAAATTCTCGTTACATATGTATATAGACATCGAATAATAAATGAACATAAGTTTTAAAATAATATTATTGTGTTTTTGTCGTCTATGTGAGCTGCGGCCTGCAGTGCGAGGCTATACTCTGTGATGCAAAGCGTCAAACCCCCCCTGTAGAAGATTTCGAAAGTCTTTCGAAATCTAAACAATTGTCGAAAACGACAAAAACACAGTGAGTTCATTAATTTTATATATGTATATGTTTACCAGAAGGAGACTTTGTACAAAAGTCGATTGCTTGGGTACCTCTGTCTCATTCGTGTTTCAACCGTGAAGCAGTTGTGTTTGCATGGCTGTGTTTCGGTTTGAAGGGTGGGATGTGACGTGACGACTGGGTACAGAGAAATAACACCTGAGTCCTCAGGAATGGTAGCGCATGGGGAGTATCATGGGCGAAACAGTATACTCTGTTATGTCCATGGTACTCTCATGTCTATAGGCGACGGTTACCACTTTCCATCAGGTGGGCTGTCAGTTTGTTTGCCATTTTAAGTTGTATAAAAAAAATATATAAATGAACATAACTTTTAAAAGTAATATATTAGTAAATTTCAACTTATAATTAACAACGATTATGATTAAACTATAATTTATAGAACCTGCCGTGTGGTTCTGATACCCACGGGGGACTACCTCTTAGTTTCCCATAGGTATCGTAAGAGGCGACTACAGCAATTTAATGGTCGAGGGCTGAGCAGCAGCGATCCTCTTAAAACGTGATCAAAGCCAAATTACGGTTGCCAACTCGCCTGCTAAACATGGCAATTACTGGCATAACTCCCTTATGGGAGAAAACTATGGTTTACAGTAGATGATTAATGGCTTATATAATTACAGAACCCATGTTTTATCAGAGAATAAATCATTTTATGATCACTTAATTTATATCAGAACTCCAATTCAGTTCGAAACTAATCAGCCATCTCCGAATTTAAAATATGAATAAAGCCGATATAAATAATCATGCTTGCATTGTGGTATTTCGGTGTGAGATAGGACCCACCCACCTCACTCTTTCCACCATATGTCAATGAAATTACATAGTACTGAGGCATAAATCTACCGTTGTCAGGAATGACAACGCATGCACGACACCAAAGACACCAAACTTCTATGAAATGGGCCGTCAGCTTATTTGCCATTTTAAGTTACATAAAAAATAACATAAATCAGAATTAAGTATCTGACCATACATCACTGTAGTTTTACAACAAAATATAAGAGATTTGTGCAAGCTTGCTGCAGTCAGTTCGCATTAATCGTGCTTACTACTATGAAGTTTACAATCGGATTATATTGGCTGTTTATACCATTTATTTCATGTCTCAACCAAATTGATATAGATTTCTCTATAAATTATATGAAAACTAGACATATTAACGCTATATGCCTGCTGACATGTGATAGTGGCAATACATGTAAGATTTGAAAATAATTTTTTTACACTAATCCTTTTACATTTAAATTTTAAAAATGTAATCTACTTACAGCTTGATCTTACACGGTTCGAATCTATTTCTCTCAAGTAACTGAGCCGAGAAGGAGCTCCAGTGAAAGATGATGGGTGAGAATGAAATGGCAGGTCAATTAGTTCATCGTGATGTATATACCTGGAATTCAGCACGATGGTTTTCAAGAGGGACAAAGTGGAAGTTAACCTGATAGGGTATATCGCTAGTGATGGGGCTGGTAGTTCACATTTCCAACAATTCCTCCCCCAAATAAATCAAACGAAGCCTTGAGATAGATAGATATGGCAAACAAGCTGACAGCCCACCTAATGGAAGGTGGCAACCATCGCCTATAGACATAAATAGTGCCATGGACATAACAGAGTATACTGTTTCGCCCATTATGCCCTCCATGCGTTGCCATTCCTGAGGAGTAACGTGTTATGCCTCTGTACACTGTAAATTCACTGCCATATCCCACTCTTCAAATCAAAATACAGCCACGCAAACACAACTGCTTCACGGTAGAAACACGAATGAGACAAAGGTATCCAAGCAAACGACTTTTGCACAAAATCTCCCTCTGAAAGATCTGGTACTAGTATTATTAATTAAAAACTTTCTATTCCAGGGACCAACAGATTTACGAAATATGCCAATTCACAGTCGATATCAGTGTTTAAAGTAGAAATAGATAAAATATTGAATGATTACGCCCTCGTAGATATTTGCTTAGAACGAAAATTAACGTCAAACGGTGTGCTGATAAACGCGTGCTGTAGACTCTACGAAAATATTCTTATTTATGTAAGTTACATTAATTTGAAAATCTTTTATAACTAATATATTTTCTTTGTTGCACTTATGAATTATATTCTTAATGCATTTATCAATAAATACTAAACATCCGTCCGCGCTTCGTATGGGTAAATATTATCATTTTACATTTCCTATTTAGGAGCTGCGCTCTTGTCGGTGGAGCTCTTGCCACTCACTACGATTTTCAGCGAGTCTCTTCACCTCTTGATACGACACGACAATAACTTTTTTCTTGATCTATCTATCGTACTGTGCCCTGGTCTCCCTCTTCCCCTTCTTCCTTCTATCTTACCTTCTATTATAATGTTCATAAGTTCATCGTGTCGTATCAAGTGTCCTAATATTTTTTCTCTTCTGACCTCAGTAAACATATATATAGTAGATAGGTAGACAGATAAATTAGTATTTTAAAAAGGTAAGTAGATAAAGTTTTTCATTTTTTATTTAATATAAAAAGGAAACACGGACCACACGGCTAACAAAAACATGTTGTAATATTAATTTTATTTATTTTTTAACCTAAAAAATCTCTTTATATTTTTGAATTTTTTTTAAATATATATAATGCAAGAGGCTACTCCTCTTACGAAACCTTTAGGAAAGAAAGAGGTGTTATTCTATGTCAGGACCATACGGCTTTATAAGATTATCAACTATAACTAGATTTAATTTGTTCTACATAAAAAATTTAACTCGTAAACTTAATAAAGTATTATTTTTCAGGCATCCGAAAACATGTATTTCGATTCACGACACAAGTGGCTTGTGATTGGTCATAGAAACGTCACCATTTTGAATTCTGGTTTAAAAAGAAACGAAACAGTCAGTGGCGTCATCGAGATTTTTAATCATCTAAATTTAAGTGTAGACGCTGATATTGTACTGTCTACTAGCACTATAGGTAATATCTGTCTTCTATAATACAAAAATGAATCGCTGAATAGGTTGCTAAGCGCAAATCTCGAGAACAGATGAACCGATTTCGCTATTTCTTTTCATAGAATATTCCTCGAAGTACGAGGATGGTCCTTACGGAGAGAAAATTAAAAAAAATCCTGAAAAAGACTAAAAACAACACTTTTCTATACTCCCAAAAAAAAAAACGATTCGTAATAATACTTAAAAATCAATTTGAACTTTATTACCATAGCATAAAGTTTAAATGTTAGAGGTTTCAATAATGTAATAATAACAAGGAATTACGTAGAAGCAATGATAAAATATAAACTGTAAATCATATGGTTACCTCCTTTCTTCTTATGCAAATATAATTAGTAAAAAGTGGACGAAAGATACACCATCAGCTGCTATTTTTGGTTTTTTGATTTGTGTACAGATAATGTCATAGGACTATATAATCCTACCAAATTCAGATACAACCTGCTTGCATACTTTCTACATAAACTGTGTCGAATATATAATCTAGTACTGTAAAATTTGTCATTGATAAATAATTGACATATCAAACATTTTCTACTTCTATCAGACTCCAGTCTGGGAGGCAAGAGATGTATATAAAGATAAGCGCATTTGTCTCTCTGCCTACTCCTCAGGAAATTGGCGTGATGATAGATAAATAAAACAATTCAAACTTTATCCACACCGTAATATTGTCAACCGCCTCGTCATCCAATTTATGAACTCAACTGTACAACGACACACATAGCTTTAAATAACGTATGAACCCACACATACACACGCACCTTTTGATATAATATCTATACTTATTGATTAAAAATCGCTTCATCGCATCTCCGCTTGATTATCAACAAAGAACCAGGTAAAAAGGCCGGCGAAGCGAAAAAACCCATGTACCGTAAGAAAAACATTGAAAAGCGCACGCTTCAAAAGAAACTCGGGGCGAATTTGGTAACTGTAAAAAGATGGTTAGGTTGATGAAAGGCACTTGGTGTTGCTATACCTATCTCAGATTTTTGCTAACATATTAATATATGAATTGAAAAAATATTATATATCAGTGTTGATATATACCAGAGGGAGACTTTGTACAAAAGTCGATTGCTTGAGTACCTCTGTCCCATGCGTGTTTCAACCGTGAAGCAGTTGTGTTTGCATGGCTGTGTTTCGGTTTGAAGGGTGGGATATGGCGTGAATTTACAGAGTGCAGAGGAATAACAACTGAGTCCTCAGCAATGGCAACGCATGGGGGGTATCATGGGTAAAACAGTATACTCTGTTATGTCCATGGTACTGCTCATGTCTATAGGCGACGGTTACCACTTTCCATCAGGAGGGCCGTCAGCTTGTTTGCCATTCTAAGTTGTATAAAAAAAAATTGAATTTCTCAAAAAAAGCATGAAGGGGTATCTTTAAAGTCCAGAAGAGGCGTGTAATGCTCCTAACGACGAAACTCTAAGTCCTGTTTGCCACTTTAGTTATAAAAAAAAATACAAATAAAAAAAAAAAAGCTTATCGCTTCATGAATGACGGAATTCAGATATAACAAATTGAAAAAAGAAATTGCAATCGAATTTGAATCACTTCCTTTTTTGAAGTCGGTGAATTATATTTCAGGATCTACTGCTTACAAACTATATGATATTTATAATTTTGGAAAAATACAAGGCGGTGACTTAGTCATTGATGAACTGGGATCGTGGAATTCGGATTCAGGTATGAATGATGTTTCTTACATGTAAATGATAAATGTACAATGTTAAGTAAGGATTTTTTGGCATTTGATTCTCTCTGCCTACACTTTTAAGGATTGGCGTGAATTTACTGGGTACAGAGGAATAACATCTGAGTCCTCAGGAATGGCAACGTATGGGGGGTATTACGGGCGAAACAGTATACTCTGTTATGTCCATGGTACTGCTCATGTCTATAGGCGACGGTTACCACTTTCCATCAGGTGGGCCGTCAGTTTGTTTGCCATTCTAAGTTGTATAAAAAAAATATAGATAGATCTAATCTTTTATTTGCGTATGGGGTCAGCTTTAGCTGTGCCTGCCCTTATACCATCATTTCATAGATCCTTTGTGTTACCTTAACGATATCCCGCGGTTTAAGATATCTGTAGCCCCCTGGCTCTGGATAAGCCATTCCCAGTAGACTAATACGCATACTTGCCGACAAATCACAGTTACTCATATATATCTAGTTTTACAAGTATTAAAATAATTACTAACTTCATTCATATATAAAGTTCTTTTTTTTTATTTTTGTCACCAACATCTATAACCTGTATAATATTTTTTTTTTTTTATAGTTATAAAAATATTTCAGGATTCAATTTAAAAATAAATATAAATGACTACAAATACTATCGTCGATGGGATTTCCAGCGAACTCCGCTGAAGTTAATAAATGTGGTTTGTAAATCTTTATTTTTGCTGGCATTTATCCACTCCATCCGCGTGACCGGGATATCTTCACTGACTAGGATCAAATGTTGCTTATCTCTTTCTTCATCCCATACATGTATACAAAATTTTAAAGTGATTGCTTAAGCCATTAATATACTAAGTTTTTTTTTAACAACTTAGAATGGCAAACGAGCTGACGGCCCACCTGATAGAAAGTGGTAACCGTCGTCTACAGACATGAGCAATACCGTGGACATAACAGAGTATACTGTTTCGTCCGTGATACTTCTCATGCGTTGCCATTCCTGAGGACTCGGGTGTTATTCCTCTGTACCATGTAAATTCAATGCCCACCCTTCAAATCGAAACACAGCCATGCAAACACAACTGCTTCACGGTAGAAACACGAATGGGATGGAGATATCCAAGCAAACGATTTTTGTTCAAAGTCTCTCTCTGGTAAGTATCAAATAAACATATTTGCTTTCGTATTTAAAAACTAGCTATGTGTCCCGGCTCCGCCCACGTGAGTTAATAAGTATATAAATTATTCTGTGTACTAATTTAGGATATGATCTACTTTTGTACTAAATTTCATTCAAATCTGTTTAGTAGTTTTTGCATGAAAGAGTAACAAACATTCATCCATAATTACAAACTTTTCGATTTATAATATTCGTTATATCAGCCTTTAACTGTCCACTGCTGAACATAGGCCTCTTCCATAAGGGGAGACTTTGCCAGTAGTTGCTACCTTTAGCAAGCAGGTTGACAACCGTAGTTTGGTTTTGGTGGCGTTTTAAATAGGACGCTGCTGCTCATCTCTCCACCATTAAATTCCCTTAATCGCCTCTTATGACACCCATGGGAAAGGAACGGGTAACTCATTCTATGCCAGGACCACACGGCGCATATTAATAATACTGACAAGATATAATTAAGGATATATTCTGCAATAAAAGCTAAAGTGAATATCATTTTCATGATAACTTTCTTTCTTTTTAGTTGACAGAACCTACAAAAGTATTCAATCCTAAAATATTAACAGATTTGCAACCTGATCTTAACATACCAGTTATAATAACATGTACAAATAGAATTCTACATGACATAGCCGAAATACATAATTTCAGGTAGTTAACAAATAGTTCATTTGTTTTTTTTTTTTAAATCACTCGGTTTATACATGCTCTTTCATAATTTTTAAATTCCAAGTAAATTCATATTAAAAACGGTAGTCCATGCTCACCTTATAAATTTATTACAACAGTAGTAGCCAGTTATAATTTTTTGTATTTCATTTATTTTTATATTATTTATATTTTATATATTTATCTAGTTGTAAATATATATACATTCTTTTATATTTGTATATGTATATTATAATCATCATTTTATGTTATTTATGTATATATTATTTATTTATTATTATTAACTGTTATTTACTTTACCTATCCCAATAATGAAGTACCGTGTTCATGATTCACTGTTCATCCCAAAGGTTGACTGGTAGAGAGTGCTACCAGCATTAAGTCCATCTTTTGGTCAATAAAGTTATATAAATAAAAATATAAATATAATTATTCCGTTGTAGAACTATAAAAAAAACTGTACTTCACCTCTTTTATGTACTTTTTTTTTGTTTTTGTTTTTTTGTATATGTTTTGTTTTATTTCTTTAAATATGTACCAATGGCTAACGTTATTAGTGTGCTGTAAGTGATGCAAATAAATTATATATCTATCTACTTACACGACTTTATTTTAGCTCGAATAAGGTAATGAAATTATTAGATACGAAGCCACATATCCCATAGTGCTGTCAGTCTGTTTCCTCAAAACATCCTATTAGTATTCTTTGTTATTCATTTCTGCTCAGTTCATTTCCCATCAAAAAGGCTTGTTTTCTATTCCAAGTAGTATAAAGTTTTAGATTATATAGATAGAGCATCGAGCCTCAAAAACGTGTCAACTTTTTATCAATGTTTCTCTCTGACTGATGTTTCTCGTTAACTCGTTTTTTTTTGTCAGTGTTCTATATATTTACACCTAAAATGTAAATCTTGACGTATTATTTAATGAATAAAATAAGTGTTTACGCGTTAAAAAGATGCAAAAAATTTAAGACAAAATAAATGTAGAAGTTATAAAGGTATCACTCATAACTATTTATCAAAATTGTATGAATAAAGTTGAGTCGTTTTTCTCGAAGCACGTTTATGGAGACCACTCTACCTATGTATATAATCTAAATATAAAGTATTCCATTCACTTACTTAGTAGCTTAGACACACGTTTATTTAATATTCAGTCTCGTAAAACTGCTTACACAAATCTAATGCTGTCTGAACTAATAACAACATTGTATTTTATTTCTAGGTTTATTTACACAATATCTGACAGGTGGTACGGTGATTTCACCAGGAACAGTTCGAAGGTAATATATTTGGCCGTATGGTCCCGGCGTAGATTAGGCCACCTCATCTTTTCCCGTGGGTGTGGTAAGAGTCGACTAAGGGAAGGCAAAGGTTGAGCAGCAGCATCCCTTTTAAACATCTCTAAAGCCTGACTGCGATTGCGAATCTACCTGCCAAGCGTGGCAAGTATTGACAATACTGACCACTGCAGTTGGTCTTTTATAGATCTTTTAAGAAGGACACTGCTGTCCATCTCTCGACAATAATTTCCCTTAGTTACTTTAGCGAACAAACTGATGGCCTACTTGATGGAAAATGGTAACCGTCACCTATAGACATGAATAGTACCATGGATATAACTGTGTTGTCCGTGATACACGTACATTCTGTAATATCCATGGTGCTGTTCATGTCTATAGACGACGGTTACCACTTTCAGTCAACCAGTTTACCTTCCCCCTTAACCTAATCTATTCCCCCAGTGTAAAATGTCCACAAAATCCGCAAATGGAATTACCACTTTATTTTTATCTTTTTTTTATTCTACTGAAGTTGCAAACAAGCATACGGCTCACCTGATGGTAACCGCTAACTGTAGCCTATATATGCCTGCAACATTAGGGGCATTACGCACGCGTTGCCATCTCTGAAAAAAACTCTTTACCCCTTTTTTGAAGAACCTCATGCTGTAGTCTGCTGACATTCATAACCTGATCACGAACGAGAGAAAACATCTATTAATAAACACATAAAAGCATAAAAGCAGGGACACCTTAAATATGTACTTCCAACCATAATCATAATCCAGAAATTTGTTTACAGGCAGTTGCAAGCTCACTATACTTCCGAACCCAGGACATTTCTCCGTTGATCAGATTTATTCATGAAGCTTTGACGAGAATAGACATCATACATCCTCCTTTGACGTCCATAGAGTAAGTTAACAACTTGGCATTGAAATAATCAGAAATTCTAACCATTTACCAGTTAACTGATGCAAACAGGGGGTTTAATTGTCAATGATGTAGTTTTCGTTTAAGTGGACCGTTTTTAATTTGTTTTTCCTTTATTTAAAGAATGCCTTCAGCAGAACGCGACAAATACTGTTAATAGCAATTATCGTCATCATGATCACTACAAGCCATACATATTTTAAGAGGAGAATATTACCATATAGGCCAAATGGCTACTTGATGATTGTCGATCTAACAAACTACTAGAGGGAGACTTCTACCAGAGAGAGACTATACAAAATCGTTTGCTTGGGCACCTCTGTTTCATTCGTATTTCTACCGTGAAGCAGTTGTGTGTGCATGGCTGTGTTTCGATCTGAAGGATGGGATATAGCAGTGAATTAATAGGGTATAAAGGAATAACACCTGAGTCCTCAGGAATGGTAACGCATGGGGTATAACGCAGTATACTCTGTTATGCCCATGGTAATTCTAAGTTGCGTAAAAAAAACTAAACGAAATTTTCATAATTTCCAGATATTATCTTCTACCCAATAAATAAGTTAACTTTCTCTTCTTCCGTTGTTTTAGAATAAGATATTACTACAGAATACCAACACGTGGTGTTGGAAAATTCCAGAATCAATTCCTTACACCATTAAGTCAGAATGCGTGGTTATCTGTACTCTTTATTGCAACATTGTGCTTAATTGTATTGCTGTTGGCTGCAAAATTCGAAGAGCGACCATCATACAGGCAATATGCTGTGTTATCAGTTATAGCATCAATTTGCCAGCAATGTATGTTATTTATTACAATTATGTAAGTTTATTAAAGTTTAAATATAACGTGGATGCTAAACTATTCTTTTTTTTAGTTTTTGAAGATAATGAATTTATTGCAACAAGAAGAGCATCACTTGGTAAGGAAGATTTTGAAACCAAAAGTAGTTAAATATTTAATCTACTATCGCTTATTCACTTCACTTTCCTTATTTATGCACAAAACACATTAGGTTCCTTTCGAATTTTATCAATATTTAAATATTATCCTTTCCCTCTTTTTAGCTCGCGAAATGACAATCTTCATAACGGGGATTTTCTGCGTTCTCATCTATAACTATTACACCAGCAGTGTGGTCAGCTGGTTGCTTAATGGACCGCCACCTTCTATTACTTCGCTGGAGGAGCTATTAGACAGTCCCTTAGAACTGATTTTTGAAGATATTGGATACACGAGATCTTGGTTGCAGGTACCGTTTAGAATAAAATGACGAAATATGTCAGTGAAAGGAAAAATTTAAAACATTAATTGCAAGTAAATGATTTCTATTAAATCAATTCCAACTAGGGTATCTAGGAGGCTTGCCGTATTTTAACGCTGAATTGCTATAGAGATACGTAGGTTAAAATATAGGCCAGCCTTTTGCTCGCTAGAAGTTTCTACCTGCTGGCTGTGATGTCTCCTTAAAGACACTCATGTCCTCGGAGTCCCAAGGGCCCAGAGTGTTAACTCCAAACGCCGCAAATATATATCCATTTCTAAGGGATAAATATTTTCGGCGCTTAAGTCTCCTGGTGTGTTACGTCGGTACCAGCTCTTATACATGTTTTTGGAAGGAGAAACGGCGCCAGCATATTGATGCAGGTGAGGTACCATACAAGTGAACGTCTCATGCTCCAAGATCCCATGGACATCCCGTCGGGTCTGTTGCCGTCACCACACATCAAACTAGAAGGTTCTAAGATAGGAGGCATATCCACGGTAACAAGAACCTGCGGGAAAATGTAGAATATAATAGTTATTAGATTGGCCAGTCGGGCCAGTTTAGCAAACGAACATTTTTGATTTAGCTCGGATCTCGGCATTCCGGATTACCCCGTCAATTTTCTTTGCCTTATTCGTAATAATACTCAAATAGGATATCGTAACTTGAGAAATGGATTATTGGTGTTATTATGTGGCACTATTCAAGAATCTCTGAAACTCTCTAATGAATAACTATAAACAATACATGCTGTATAATAAGACCAACATGTTAGGCTTCACAAAACACACTCTAAAGTGTATGATATATGATGTAGCATTTACATCTCTGTATTTTTTTTAAAGTTCACTGATATCCTTATGTGACCTTAACTTCCTTTAAATTAAAACATAGCCATACTAATATAATTTTTTAGTTACACAACCACATAAGCAACAGAAATGTCCATGCAGACAACTATTGTGCAAGATCTGGAAGAAGATATTTCATAATTTCAGGTACCCAATTATTATTATAACAGCAGAAACCAAAAAGTGGAGAATCAATTGCGACAGAAGAAAGTGTTCAATAAGAAAAAAGGTGCCCCACTGTTCGAACCTGTCGAAAAAGGAATTGCGATGGTCAAATCAGGAGGTAAGTTTATAATAACCCTATAATGAATCTTATAAATTTGTGTATTAGAGTTGATAATTCAAATTCTTTATTCGATCAGGTTACGCTTACCACACCGATATGGATACTGCAAATAAACTAATCTCCAGGTCTTTTACTCAAGCAGAATTGTGTGAACTTGGCTCTTTGCAGTCTATGGAAAAAACTAACTTGTACGCATGCGTACAAAAGGACAGTCCGTTTAAAGAATTCTTCGTTTGGAGGTATTATTATTTTAATCTAACCTTTAAAACCTAGTTATCTGAAACTAAAATTCTTATTATATAAATACCACTTAAAGTGATAAACCTACTGAAAAAAGATAACATTGTAGAATACACTGTGACACACATTATACCCTCTATTCCTGAGAACAAAGATCTTAAGTTCAGGTTTCACTAATATATTAGATATTGCATCAGTGTCCATATTATCCAGGCCTACTAGTTATTATTATAATTTGTGTATACTTATACTGATCATTAACTTGTTCCGTTCAATTTGTCCACTTTAGAATTATTTGGTGTTCATCCCAGGATTAGGAGCATAACTTTCAGCTATGGCCTAAAACATGTCTGAGAGCACATATGGGCCTTTTTTCAACCAAATACAAAAAGAAAGTTCTCTTTTTTTATGTTTCTTACCTCATAACTCCTTTTGGCGATTTGGCAAATTCATTATTTATCTGAAAGAACACACAGATTGTTCCCATTGAAATTTTATCAAAATCGTTACAGTAGTTTAGTTTTTAAATTAAAATAACGGGTTTTGTCATTTTTAAAGTGTAGTTCTTTTTGTGGGGCACACTGTAATTATTAAGAGGCCAGGTCCTCCTGTAAAATAGTCCTAAATACTCAATAATTGTGAATCAAGTGATGACAATGATTTCAGTGTAGCTCGACTGTCAGAGCGCGGAATCATTTCATGTATACAACGACGTACAAATGTTTTAGTACCAAAATGTGAAGGCAGTTCGCCTAGGGCTCTGGCGTTAGGTGGTGCCTCTCCTGCCTTCTTGTTACTTGCTATTGGTTACTTTTTAGCAACTATAATAATGCTTTTAGAGAGGTAAGTTAAATTTTATATGTATATTTTTTATTACACTTGTAAATTATATAAGATAAGGCATTTATAAATATTGTGAGCGAAGATGGACGCATTTCAGAAAGAGATCTCTTCCAGCCAACCCAATAGTTTGTAGTTAAAAAAAATGCACACCGAGGAAAAGGAAATTTAATTTCAACTTTTTCTTGAAACAGTCGGTAGAAAGACTCTCTTGTATGTAGGAAGGGAGTTATGTAAATTGTTACCATTCTCGGCCTTTATTTATCCACTGTTGCACATAGCCTATGTTCCCTATGTTCTCTATAGTGGATTAGAGGGATTTTGTCAGTAGTTGCCATTCTTAGCAGATGGTTTGGAAACCGCAGTTTGGTCTTTTGGTAATGTTTAAAAAGGGACACTGCTGCCCATCCCTCGACCATTATGGTCCCTTAGTCACATTCTTATAAACCCCACGGGAAAGCAACGGGTGGACCATTCTATGCTGAGAGCACACGGCATACAACAAACAGAAGGAAAAGCCCTTTTTTTAAACTGCAATGAATTCATAAAAAATGACTTATAAAAAGTCTTTGTAATCAAGTCTATTCAAATAAACATTATTTGAATTTCGTTTGGAGGAAAAATAATTGATGTTCGGCTAAAAATACAAATTTGCATCTGGCAACCCTTCCAACAGGGTTCGTAATTAGACCTGTTTCAATATTTACCAACCATAAATATGGAATGCAATAATAAATAAATAAATAATACAAAATAGTACAAAAGTCGATTGCTTGGGTACCTCTGTCCCATTCGTCTTTCAACCGTGAAGCAGTTGTGTTTGCATGGCTATGTTTCGGTTTGAAGGGTGAGATATGGCGTGAATTTACAAGGTACGGAGGAATAACACCTAAGTCCTCAGGAATGGCAACGCGCGGGGGATATCATGGGCGAAACAGTATACTCTGTTATGTCCACGGTACTGCTCATGTCTATAGGCGACGGTTATCACTTTCCATCAGGTGGACCGTCAGTTTGTTTGCCATTCTAAGTTGTATACAAAAAAATAATTATGACTCATGATACTTGAAGTGGCTTTTCTAGTTAAATTAACTACAAAGGCCAGAGCACAAATTAAATTAATGTTTTACCTTGATTTTATCACGAAATATGAAAAGTTATATTACCAATAACACTATCAAACGAGTCCACCTCCATACGTATTCCATAAATCAATTTCGAGAGCATAATTTATTGGCCATTCCGGAAAATTAAATATAGGAACCATTGAAATTTTCCATTTAAAATTGGAACTTTCAAAAGAAATACAATTTCGTTTAGAGAAATCCAATAGATTGGTGTGTTTTTCAGTCGACTTCAAAAAAAAGGAAGTACTCAATTGGGTTGTATTTTTTTTATATTTGTTACCTCATAACTGCATCGGTTATGGACTGATTTGGAAGTCTTTTTTTATCTGAAAGGATATACTTACAGACTGGTCACATAGAAATTTTATCAAAATATGTTTAGTAATTTTTTTTTATACAACTTAGAATGGCAAACAAGCTGACGGCCCACCTGATGGAAAGTGGTAACCGTCGCCTATAGACATGAGCAGTACTATGGACATAACAGAGTATACTGTTTCGCTCATGATACCCCCCATGTGTTGCCATTCCTGAGGACTCAGGTGTTATTCCTCTGTACCCTGTAAATTCACTGCTATATCCTTCAAACCGAAATACAGCCATGCGAACTGCTTTACGACTGCTTTACGGTTGAAACACGAATGGGACAGAGGTACCCAAGCAAACAACTTTTGTACAAAGTCTTCCACTGGTAAAGTAAAGTTTTAGTAGTTTAGATTTTAAATATATATATATATATATATATATATATATATATATATATATATATATATATATATATATATATATGCCTTTATCACAATTGAAATCGGGTTTTTTCAACCAACTTCAAAAGAAAGAGGTACTCAATACCTCTTTTATGTTTGTTACCTCATAACTACAGATGGGCAAAGCACCGGGTTTAAACCCGGTGCTTTGGTAAAAACCCAATAAACACCCATAAACTCCCATAATCACCCAAAAAAATAGGTTTTTACGTATTTTTTTGAAAATATGTAAGTAATACCAATAAATTATTTTTATAAATTGTATTGATCAATTCTACAATATTAAATAAAACGTTAACTAATAATATTTCAGGAAATTTTAAAAATCTATATATAATAAAATGAAAGTAATTAATTTTCAGTGTTTTCATGTTGCAATTGATCAACATGTTGGCCTTTTGCTTCCCGTAGATACTTTAAAATTTCTTCATAACACCTCGTTCGCACACATGGCCGTATATATTTAAATTCTTGAGCCACTAACAGTCCGAAATACTCATTTCTTTTATCCTCTTCTCCATAAATTAAGCATTTAGAACAGTTTGTTTCTTCTTTCAGTAAATTTTCTTTTACTTTATACTCGTTTTTTTCTTTGTTGCGACGACGCTGGGTAAATCATCTGGACACTGGGTCTCACTATCGCCAAATATATTTGGAGATCGGCTTCGGCTACGGCTTGGCAGACATTTTTTTCTTTCTACAATTTTAAATTAAATTTATTAGAATAAATGCTTCGAACACACGCGATCTAAGTACCTTTTGTGTTTATTATACCTTACCTACCTAGGTATAAAAAGAGTACTTACGTAGATTTTCTTTTATTAACTGTTTTATACGAAGATCTTGATCTCTCAAATTAGCATCCATTTTACTTCCAGTGATTATCAACTAAATTAATAATCCACAAAGTATTAAATAACGTTTTTATGAAATATTTAGCACAAAAACAATACCCTTTAAATATCGATCGTCAGTAACTGTGGCTGACTTACCTATATTCTAGCAAGCAGGACTGCCAGATGTGAAGGGGAAATCCCCAATAAATTGTTGCATGTGACTGATGATGTGAGCATGTTCGTTTCATAATAAAAATGTTGCCAGGTAACCAAAAAGTCGTATGTTTTTGTGCGAATTACGATCATAATCTTTACGATCGTACATTAAAAAATAGACAAATAATAGTATGAGTACGATTTAAATCGTATATCTGTCAACCCTGCTAGCAAGACAGCGACAAAATCACGTTGCATAACAATGTAGCCCAAGCTTATATCTTATGAAATATACGGAAGAGATACGGACTTAGAAAAAACAGAAATGTTGTTCTTTGTGGAAGTCATTGATGAAATTCTATGTATTTTAGCCCGCAAACTTTCTTCAAACAAAAACAGCGCCATCTAGTATCGAGTTCTGTAATTATCTCTTTGTTTATGGATTTGAAGTAAGACCGCCACGCATGCAATACATTATGACTGGGGATTCCCCTATTCGTCGACGCTGAATATGAGGCGACGACAATCACTGTCAAACGTGTTCACTATTACTCTGACTCTGGTAACGTGACTTCCTGGTAACGTGTTAGGTAGGAAAAGCAGTAAAAAAGTGCATATTAAGGGAGCAGATTTGAAATAATATTTATACTTAACAAGAAATAATTAAAGGTAAGTGGATTTTTGAATGATACAATTATATCATGATCACTTAACAATTTTAACTTAAAATTAGATGTATTATTACAAGCTTTTATTTAGCTTGCGTTATGTAAATAAAAGTATGTAGGTATGTTCGTATGTTGATGCAATTATCCTCAATCCTCAACCGACTGGGATAAAATTTTCCATACACGTTTATTTTGGATGATAGTGCATAGTTAGCTGAGAGTCGTCATTGGATAATAATGGTGGATAGCCTAAGATGTGTACTAGATATTTATTTTTAACATAATATGCGTAAGTACCTAATCGAATTAAAGAAGTTGCTGAGAAAAATACAGAACAATACGATAATAAACTAGCGTCTGCGTTTAATCCTCCGAGGAGATGTAATTTTACAAAGGTTTTTTGTATTTATTTTATTATTTTTTTAATAAATTTATTGTAAATAACAAGAAATAATCATTGTAAAAAAATAGGCACTCTATTGTTGAATTTTCGTCAGACCAACTAATCATCGTTCATTTTTTTAGGTTCAATGGGGAGACCTAAAGATTTACGCATATGGGAGCACTACCGTACTTTACCAAACAAGTCTGTTTCTTGCAAGCTTTGTAATAAGGTCTACAAATTCAGTAATGCTGCCAAAATGCTTCAACATCTTATCACTTGTCCAAAATCTCCAGAAACATTAAAAGACTCTATGAAACTTATAAAAGATAGCTCGTCCAAAACCAAAATGTCTGGACTGTCAGAGATAGAGACAAATGATTCTTTTATAAGCCCCTCGTCGTCTGCTAACACTACAATAAATGCTGAGTTTCAAGACACCGATGATCATATAAAAACAGAATTAGCGAGAGCTATATTTGTAACAGGGACGCCATTATCGATGGTGCAACATCCTTTATGGATACAATTTTTCGAAAAATTGCAACCAAAATTTAAAATACCTTCACGTAAAGCTTTAGCGACAAAATACTTATATAATAATAGTTTTGAGTTAAATGAGGAACTAAATGCTTGTAGTTACTTACACATTCAGTGCGATGGCTGGTCTAATTTAAGAAATGAAGGAATAATAAACTTTCTTATATCAAAACCTCAACCTGCATACGTTAAAAGTTTGAATACAGAAAGTAATCCTCACACTAGTGAATACCTTAGCCAAGAAGTTGAAAAAGTAATGAAAGTGTATGGAGCAAATAAGTTTCTTGTACTTATTGGCGATAACGCTAGAAATATACAAAAGGCATTCGAATTAACAAAACTCAAATATCCACATGTTGTTCCTCTCGGTTGCTGTGCACATATCCTTAACTTGTTGTGCCAAGATATTGTAAAGATACAAGAAGTAACTGTGTTTATTATGCAAGCCATAAATATAATAAAAACTGTTAAAAGGAGTCAACGATTAAGTTCCTTGTTGATAAAATCAAGGCAGGGTGAAGATTCTACACAAACACTAAAATTGCCTTGTGCTACAAGATGGGGAAGTCATGTTACTTCGTTAAAAAGTTTGAAAGCAAATAAGATAGCTTTGCAAATATTAACAGTTAGAGAAGATGTGGTAATTTCAAGAGATATTAAAGATTTAATTCTAAGTGATGATTTCTGGACGAAGACAGGGGAATGTATAAGTATTTTGGAACCAGTCACTGAAAGCATATTTTACTTAGAGAGCGACCAGAATCGTTTGCATCGCACATACATTACATTTAGAGATGTACAAGCTAAGATACGTTTTGCATTAAATGAGATTTCGACATTGAGCGAAGAAAGCAAACAGCAGATTCTAACATCAGTATCTTCAAGATGCAATATGGCAATGAGGCCAATACATTTTGCAGCATATATTCTAGACCCCAGGACTCTAGGAGTCGAACTTACTCAAGAGGAAGAACTTAAGGGTATGGAGTTTATCTACAATTTAAGCCAACACTTAAGTTTGTCAAATGTAATGGCAGATTTGGCGTGTTATAAAGCTAAAGAAAACTTTTGGGCCAGAGGATTTGTATGGAGCTCATTAGATAGCATTGAGCCCCTAATATGGTGGAAAGGTATTTGTGGTTCCACTGAGTTAAGCAAAGTAGCGATTCGTATTCTATCAGCTCCCTGTACTTCGGCAGCCACTGAGCGTTCCTTTAGTATCCAAGGCTACATACATAATAACAAAAGAAATCGACTTACAACTGAAAGAACTGAAAAAATTTCATTCATTTGTTATAACTGGAATCTTAAACATAAAGCTGAATGCGAGGACATTCAGTTTAATGAAGAAAATACCTTAGAAGCTTTCATTGAGCAAGTAAATGAACATAACAGTTTAGACGAAATAGAGCCTATCGAACCTATACAATTCATCGCTTGTAATAACTCTGAATCTGACAGTGATTGACTGTAGTTTTACATTTTACTTTCATCTCTTTCTTAATAAACTCAAAATCAAATTAAAAGTTTTTTATTCTGTAGGCTGCATAATAATATTGTCTATGTCCAGTATAGTGGACGTCTTGCGGCTGAGATGACGATGATGAAGTACAAAATCATAAACACCCAAAAATTTGGGTGTTTATGGGGTTTAAACCCAATAAACCCAAAACACCCGGTTTTTACCCACCAGACTTTAAACCCACCCAGGTGGATTGCCCATCTCTACTCATAACTCTGTCAGTTATAAATCGATTTAGATTTTTTTTTTTTTTACTGAAAGAATAGACTTTCCGAAGTTATGTGCAAAATAACTCTCGGCTGAATTAAGATGACTATAAAAACAAAGTAAATAAAAAAAAACTAATTGCAAATACTAAAGTTGTAACAAAATTTGTATTAGACCAATACGAAATTAATTATATAGTAAATCCTACTGAATGCGAACAGAATAGAATAGTAACAATCAATTCTGAATTGTGAATTCAGAACCTTTTTTCTTTCTATTAAGGGAAAAAAGAAAAGAAATTAATTCAGTTGATACAAAAGGCGGTCTTATCGCTAAAGCAATTAATTCTGATTTCCCGTATACCCTGCAGCCCTTTGTGTTAATATAATTAAATTAATGAATATGTATAATATCAGAATAATTGTTTAATAGCTGTATGTATGCGTGAATTAAATATTTAATATAGAATAATACTTTGAGTTTATCCAGAATTTTTTAAATATGGCATCGTTGTGTTTGTAAGTTGCCTTGCTTATTTCTTATATTGTATAATGCAAATAAAGTATACTCATTCATTAATTCATGGAGAAAGACACAGGCTACTTTTTATGCTAGTTAGTAAACGTTAGTTTATAATATTAGCAAAGACCAGAGGGTCTACCATGAAATGGAATTCCGAAGTTATGAATCCAATGTCGCGCTTCGTACTATGTAGTACGATAAATAGTAAATGAAATTTAATTCGTTTAAATTTAAATTCGTTGCATTCGTCATACCATAGAAATGGTATGACGAATGCAACGTTAAATTTCGACCAACAGATCAATATTTTATTATTTAAACAGCATTTATTATTTGATTTTACGTGTGTTCTAAACAACCCCGAAATTTCGAAAACGTTTCATAGTCCTTCGTTAGGACGTTGAATCACGATTGAGTAACGACCATATAAATTTATTTAGTATCTCTCACATTATACACGAGTACATTGTTATACATTCTCTAAGTAATATAATTTTATATTACTCGTACATTGTGAATATTTATTGAAATTAGATATTTTTAAACAACATTGATTATAATCTAATTTTAACACCAAATTTATATTCCGAACGGTCTCGAAATACCAAAAAAATTTTGATAGTAGGTAGTATTGATTATTATTAGTTCATGTTTGAAGAACTAACGTATAAACTTATTCAGAATCTCCCACATTATACACGAGTACATTGTTATATATTCTCTTAGTAATATAATATTATATTACTCGTACATCGTGAATATTTATTGAAATTAGATATTTTTAAACAACATTGATTATCTAATTTGAACATTAAATTTATATTCCGAACGGTCTCGAAATACCAAAAAAATTTTGATAATAGGTCCTCCGTTTAGTATTGATTATTATTAGTTCATGTTTGAAGAACTAACGTATAAACTTATTCAGAATCTCTCACATTATACACGAGTACATTGTTATACATTCTCTTAGTAATATAATATTATATTACACGTACATGGCAAATGTTTATTGGAATTCGATATTCTAAGGTATTTCTCTAATTAGTAATGGCTGTTAATCTATTTACAGAGTCGTCAAGAGAACAAAGGGGCGGCCGCAAACTGGTAATTGCGATAATGATGTTAAACGAAAATATCACTCTGTTACATAATTTGTAACTATGTAATTAATATAATTGTGAATTAAACTAACTAGCTAGATAGCTAAACTAATATTATAAAGAGGAGGGATTTAATTTTTCGTCACACAGCTTCTAACTGTCCACTACTGAACTTAAGGCTCCTCCTAGAGGGATTACCACGATTGGCATCCGCATTTAGGCTTTGGGGATGTTTTAAGAGGGACGCTGCTGCCTATCGCTCGTACTCCGTTAGTAGCCTCTTAGCAGAGGGAGACTTTGTACAAAAGTCGATTGCTTGGGTACCTCTGTCCCATTCGTGTTCCAACCGTGAAGCAGTTGTGTTTGCATGGCTGTGTTTCGGTTTGAAGGGTGGGTATGGCGTGAATTTACTGGGTACAGAGGAATAACACCTGAGTCCTCAGGAATGGCAACGCATGGGAGGTATCATGGGCGAAACAGTATGTGTGTGTACTGTTATGTCCATGGTACTGCTCATGTCTATAGGCGACGGTTACCACTTTCCATCAGGTGGGCCGTCAGCTTGTTTGCCATTCTAAGTCGAATAAAAAAATATATATATACTCATATAGACAAGCATTTACTTTGATAGCTACATAATCCATGGCGGTTTGCCAGCGGATTGATTGAATCCATTTGTTCGTACATATCTCTGCTTTTTTCGATTGTTTTCCATAAATGGAATTGCTGAGTGATTGGTGATTGGTGCCAAAAATTCACTGGACAGTTGCTATCTATTTTTTTTAATGGATGATAATGGAATGGTAACCCCGCCTGCGCTATCAGTTTACACTGGAGGGGCACCAGTGAGGGATGATAGGTGAGGATGAAGCAGGTCAGCCAGCCCATCGTGACGAATTCAACGATAAATTAGGCACGATGGTTTCCAGGCAGAACCGAGTGGAGGTTGACCTGATAGGGTATATTGACAGCAATGGGTACTAACCTCCCCATATTATGCTATCTATTAGGTAATACAGTAACACTCGTATCTACAATAGAAGATGTGAATAATATTGAAACTGTATTTTATAACAAATTTAGTTCACTTTATTTTATATTAGCATTAAATTATATATATATTTACACTTTAATGCATAGTTAAACTATGAACATATGGCGAACTTAACACCGTACGGTACGACTGTACTTTACCTGCGACTTTGTCCGTGTGGCTGGAATAAGTTTACTGAGCAGGATAAATAGCCTATATCCTTCTTCGCTCCATACAATATGGGTATATCAAATTTCATAGTATTTAATTAAGTAAAAGTTTAATTAATCACTATGAAATTTGGTTTACGTTATAAAGTAGTAAAGTATCAAAGAAAAATCAATCTAAACTATTATTAATTTTTATTTAAATTAATTTATTTTAGATAACTCGGATATATTTTTGTTAGTAAGTGTTGTTTGTAAAAACTATGTTAATACTTAATCACTAATAATGATCTAGTACTCTCGACACGCGTTCTCACGAGAGGAGTATCAAATTTTAATTATTAAAAAAAATGTTTTATTAACATAAAAATTATGGTAAAGTTTAAAGTTTTAAATTCTGTCAAATTTTTCGCAAAATAAATTAAATGTCGGTCAGCGACCAAAAAGAATTAAAAAAAACTGACACTGACTAACTAATTGTCAAATATGCAAACTGTATTTTATAATTCCCTTTAAAAGATATATAATTAATGTTTATATTTACTTGGTTAAATAAATAAATAAATAGCAATAACTTTAGTTCAATATTTATAGTGTACACAGCAGTGGGCTGCGATATTAGTGTATTACAACATCTCAATCAAAAAAGTACCTAATAGTCTAAGATCTCGTGGCTGCATTCTGCAGATATATGGATAGGGAGCCACTCGAGTTGAGTACGATATTGAGAAATATGTTCATATTTGCGAAGACCATATATGAAGCAGATACATAAATTTTTAAGACACTAAAGTTTCATCCCAATCATCTGGACGAGTGGCGGTCTTCCACCGTGCGTTTTTCAAGGCACTTTCTTCCACGCACAACCATTCTTTGGAAACAACTTCCAGCAGCAGTATTTCCGAACCGATACGACAATATAACCTTCAAGAAAAGAGTATATTCCTCTTTAAAAGGCCGGCAGCACACCTGCAATGCCGCTGGTGTTGTGGGTGATCATGGGCGGCGGTGGTCACTTGCCATAAGGTGAGCCGCATGCTCATTTGCCCCTTGTGTTGTAAAAAAAAACTCAAGCTCGTTTAATTGCTCTTTTTATAAAAACTTTGTTTAAACAAAAGATGAGCAAAAATATTTATTTATTTATTACATTACATCAACTGGATGAGCTTTACAGTCTTCCAATATGCCCATCTAGGAAATCAACAGTACAATAACATATATAAAAAAGGAATAATACACATAAATAAATTTAATTTCAAAATTTCTACACACAAACACCATGTGGTCATTCGACGAATCTCCAGCAATTTGGAGGCAAAAACATCAAATTCAAATTCAAATTCAAAAATCATTTATTCATGTAGGACATTTTAGCCGCTTATGAACGTCAAATTTTTACATTATAATTTTATTTTTTTCCCTACCGTCCAGTTCGGTATATAGATCCAACTGAGAAGAACTGGCAAGAAACTCAATTGAATTACTTTTTTTTTTAAAAGCCAGTTTATTTACAATGTATATTTATATAGGTGTCTATGTCTAACATTAAATGAAAATTCAGTGCATGAACAACTATTGCCATGCACACTCGTCATTCAAGTAATCGTTTAGTGAGTAATAGGCTTTGCTCAGTAAATATGATTTAACAGATGTTTTGAATTTATTTAAGGGTAATTCCAACATATCCTTTGGTATCTTATTGTAAATTTTTATACCTATTCCCATAAAAGACCTATTAACTTTTTCCAAACGATACTTGGGGACAGCAAGTTTGTCTTTAAATCTAGTATTAATATTATGAATATTGCTGTTTTTTGGAAATAAGTCAAGATTTTTATGAACATATAGGATATTTGAATATATAAATTGAGAAGCAACGGTGAGAATATTTGCCTCTTTGAATTTCTCTCTTAATGAGTCACGACTCTTCATACAGTAGATCGCTCGAACGGCACGTTTTTGTAATATGAATATATTCTTAATATCTGCCGCTTTTCCCCATAGTAATATTCCATAAGAGAGTAAACTATGAAAATAACTAAAATAGACTAATCTAGCAGTATCAGTATCAGTGTACTGTCTAACTTTACGCACGGCAAAAGCTGCTGAACTTAGTTTCGCTGCAAGGCTTTGAATTTGTGCACCCCATTGTGTTTTATTATCTAGTGTGATTCCTAGAAAGACAGTAGATTCTATAAATTCGAGAGATTCGTCATTTAATTTAATATTGCAATTAGTATTAAAACTTTTAGACAGGGAGAAATTAACACATTTTGTTTTTTTAGCGTTTAACATAAGATTGTTAGTTGTAAACCAGTGCAGGAGACGCCGCAAAGCACTATTTACATCGTCATAATTATTAGTCATTCTATTAACTTTAAAAATCAATGAAGTATCGTCTGCAAATATTACTATGCCGCATCTATCCTGCATGGCATATGGGAGATCATTAATGTAAACTAGGAATAAAAATGGACCGAGAATAGATCCTTGAGGTACACCCATTTGCACAAGTGACCCGTCAGACGTAGCGTTGCTAATCTTCACTTTCTGTATTCTATCAGATAGATAAGATTTTATTAAATTTAAAGCATTGTCTTTGACGCCATAAAAAGCAAGTTTTTTTAGCAATGTATTATGATCAACGCAATCAAAAGCCTTAGAAAGATCACAAAAAACACCTATCACATCCATTTTAGTTTCCCATGCAGCAAATACGTGTCTAAGCAACTCTGCACCTGCGTCTGTAGTTGAACGACCTTTGGAAAAACCGAATTGACTATTGTGGATTAAATTATTTAAATTGAAATAACTGACAAGTTGCATAAGGATTATTTTTTCAAAAATTTTACTGAGTGCTGGGAGTATGGATATAGGTCTATAATTTATTGGGTCACTCTTATCTCCAGATTTAAAAAGCGGTATGATTTTACTAATTTTCATTATGTTAGGAAATTTACCTTCATCTATACATTTATTGAAAATAAAAGCAAGAGAGGGCGCAATAATTTCCATTATACTATCCAGTATTTTAACAGATATACCCCATAGATCCTCTGTTTTTTTATTATTAAGCTGTTTGAATATTTTCATTATTTCTACTGATGATGTATGTCTAAAGTTAAATACAGCTGATGACTTGCTAACATTGTCTGTTAGTAAAGTTTCAGCAGCAGACGGGGAAGATTTTAGAGCCTGTGTCGTAATTAATGGAATATTAGTAAAATAAGATTCGAATGTATGCGCGACCTCTGTGTCGGAATTTACCAATTTGTTATTAATATTTAAAGCTATTTTGCTATTTTGAAAATTAACTTTTCCAGTTTCGCTATTTATTACTTTCTAAGTGGCTTTTATTTTATCTTTAGATTTAGTTATTATTTTACCTAAATAGAGAGACTTAGCTGTATGACAAACCTTTTTAAATATTTTTGAATAAGATTTTACATGTTCATGAAATAAGGGATCGGATATATAGCTTCGTTTTTCGTAAAGTTCGTAAAGATTAGCCCTAGACTTATAAATACCAAACGTGGCCCAGTCACAAAACTTTGATTTTACACTAGTTGAAAATGTTTTTGTTTTAAATTCACTGCTAGCTTCATGTTCAATTAAATTAAAAATATGTTCACATACAATGTCCGGGTCATATTGAGGTATTATGACACTAGATATTTTATGTTCAATTTTATTTTTAAAACGTGCCAAATTCTTTTGTGTTATTTGTCTGCATGTAATTGTTTGAGTCCCTTTGGATCCCTTAGTTTCAATTATAACTTTTTGTCCGTAATGATCAGATCCAAGACAGTCGAAATTCATTTTCACCTCTACTTCACAATTACAAAAAACATTATCTATACAAGTGGCAGAATTTCCTGCGACCCTAGTGGGTTCTAAAAAAAGATTGTGCAAATTAAATGATTTAAATAAGTTAATCAATCTTAAGCTTATTGAGCATTCCGATAATAAATCAACATTAAAATCGCCACATACAAATAATGTTTTATTCCTCCGTGCGACTCGTCTCAATGCTTCCTCCATAGCCAGTTCAAAAGAATCAAAACAAGCCGATGGCGGACGATAAACGCAAATTATTATACAAGTAACTAATTCTACGCAAGATAGTTCAATTGTTTGCTCAATAGAAATATTTACAATGTCTTGACGGTTTTTATATTCTACATCATTTTTTAAAATAATAATTGACCCGCCATGAATGGCATTGTTCCTAGCAAAAAAACTAGCTATATTATAATGTTCA